AGCAATCACAGGAAAGCGGCAAATAAACTTGAAGAAAATTAAAAGTGGCAGCCAAGAGAAGCAGACGAAGCACACTGAAGTTGCCATCCGACTTTGATGGAGGCAGCCGGAGGATTCCGAGATTCCGGAGAAAGGGATCAGGAAACGTATCGACTTAATTGAACAAATCGCAGTAAACGAGCCGTAAATTTTTAATATGTTTCGGTTTGCGTAAATAAAAGCTGACGCAAACTTCCTTTCGACTCGAGTCCGAGTTTGGTAATCGATTGTGGCAAGCAGTGGGGCGGGGCCTGGCCAAATTAATAAATCAAATAAACGCCGTGCGAAACAGGCCGAGCTAAGCTCATTCAATTAGTAACTAGCTCCTGCTCCAGACTCACTTAATTACTTCGGACGTCTGCTGACTGATTAAAACACAAGGCGGGGGTAAGGATAAACACGGCATTGGCATTACCACTCCGTCCGACTTTAAGCTTTGACATTTCGGCCAGGAACAATATTTTCTTTGCCCAGTCTAGCGCAAGGCGATGTGTCTGGGCTTTTGCTGCTTTACTTGCTTTATTTGCCTTGGCTTTTTTGCTTTTTCGCCAGGAACTCAAGTGTTAATCCAGACATCCGGCTAACCGGACTCTGTTTTTGTTTACAGTCGTCGTCGTTTCTTTTTGTAGACATCTTGGCAAACTGGAACTGGCCAGCGGGTAATGCCGGAGAATCAGAACGTGATCTAGCATTGATCAGCGCTTGAAACTATCCCACATATGCGGAAAAGCGGAAAAGGAAGTGTAACCGAAGCGTGAAAAATGCTCCTGCGGGTGGAATTGTCATTGTAATAGTAATTTATTGCTCGCAGAACTTTGCCAGCAACTCGCACATGTCGACACCAGCCCAAAAGGGGATTCAGGCGGAGGAAAAGCCGGGCTGAGATGGAGAAAAATGGCTGTGGGACAGCGTTTGACATTTGACATATGCGAGTCGTTTGACATACAAGCAAATTACATGGAACTATTTGTCTTGTCGGCTAAATCGTATAAGCTGCGAGTGGAATCCGGAATGCGGCCACATAGCTGGAAACCGAGCTGAGATCTTTTTCCGAATGGCAAATATATCGACTACGGGGCGTATGAGCAATGTAGAGTTTGTATTACGGACACATGAGTGTTTTACGGGGCGTATGAGCAATGTGTTTAATGTTTATAGGAGCCACTCCGTACGGCCAATTCATAATTAACCATCAGCTGGCGCACACAGGGCGTATGAGCGATGCGTTGCACTTGGCCGCCCAAGCAAAGTCATTCAAAATGTCCAGCACATTTGCCATGGCGCAACTTTTCCCATTGTTTGGCTGTTTTCGTGTTCGTTTTTGTTGTGGAGCTGTGCTGCATTTTGCATTAAGTCAAATGTTTTAATTAAAATGGGAAAACTTTTCCAATTAAGGGTGGACCGCATAAAAATTATCAATGCAAAAGCTGTGTTTTCAATTTTTTCCGTGTATGGCTGGGTTATACCCTCTAAATGTTTATTTCGCCTACTGTCACATTCCGCGTCACTGAGAAGTTCCTTTTCGGGCAAGGCAAATTAATTAGCTGCAAAAAGGCGGCAAGAGTGTTGGCAAAACTTTCATAAACTCGGTAAGCTTCGCTAATTGCGTCTTTGAGCGAGTTTAACTTTCGAAAACTGTTACTTAAACGAGGCTAATTAGTTGAGAAATTCCAGCTTTAAGCATGCAGGAAGTTCTCAGGGCGCAAAACTGCATCGATAATAATAATAATAATAATTAAAGACGAGGCAAATATGTGCTCGGCAACGCGTTCACAGAGGTCCTTCCTGCTTCGTCCTCCATCGCTCACCTGACGCAGAGATTAAGTTTATGTGGCGCCGTGTCGTTCATGTGATTAAGTCCCGGTCCGCATGGCAAATTGCTGGAGGAAGCCCTGCGCTTTCATTGCAATTAAGCCGCAACTGCCACATAATGATAAAAAGAGGGTCCTGGCATAAAGGAGTGGCGACTTGGATGAATGGTGGGGGGATTGCGTTTTAAGCCTGCCCCAACGAATGCACTCTTTCACTAGTTATGGCCAAGATTGCTTGCAGCTTTATTTTCTTTTTATTTTGCATGTGGCACAAGGACACTTTTGGCTTTCTAACTGGGTTACCGCCGTGGTTATGGCCCGTGAAAATTAAAGCCATTACATGCTGCCTGCTTAAATGACTCAACTCAATTGTCCGCCAACTTTTGATTGCTTGGCAGAGCTGCAAGTTTGTGCCATTTGCAGCAGGGCCCTTAAAGTTTTAATAATCAGCCGCAAAATCCCCAATTTCCAAGCACCTGAGGCTCTTCAATGAGAGCTGGCCTTAATAATAATTAGCACACAGCTCTTGCTGGCCATTTGGCCATTTGGCATTCTGAAGTGGTCAAGAGCCAGCCTGCATTGCAGTTCTGGCCGTGACGCGGCATGGAATGTGTTATATATAGTCCGGGTTGAAATCTGCGCCTGTGTTTCAAGATTTCGCTGCCCATTTATCAGCCAAGAATGCGCTGAAAGTTTTCCACCCTTTTTCCAGCCCTCCCAGAGAATTCTTTTTTATGTTTTTCGCTTCTTTTTCACTTTTTGGTGGGCAAATGCTAACGGGTTTTAACGGATTTGGCCCGGCAGCCGGCAGCGCATTGCACAATTTTAGAGAGATGCCTTTTTCGGTCCGCTTTCGGTGGCAGCAAGCAACGTGCAGATTTATTGCATTCAACTTTCGTGTGACTTTCACAACAAACTTTTATGTCTTGAAACTTTTCAAGTTTACTTAAGCAACAAAAGTTTGTCCTCACCCATTCAGATTTTTCCCATTCTCGTCGAATTTATTGCCAAAAACACAAGCAGCCCAGCTAAAGCGTATCCCAAAATGAAGTGTCGGTAATATGCTATGAATTATGCGCATTAAATTTCGAGTGTATGTGTGAGCGCCATAAAAGTTTGCGGTTTTGCCGCTGATTCCCGCTAATGAGGCGATGATGCGTGAGGCGGAGGACGCACTTCATCCGAATCCGTCTGCATCCGCCGGAAACGGAACTCTCGATTGTCGCCGTAAATCATTCGATTGGCTAGAGAAGAGGTATCGATTTCCCGCTGCTATCGAGCATATTCCGCAATGCTCGCATTAGAATTATTAAAATTCCTGCTGTGGTTTCTCTTTTCCAAAGGCCACATGCCACATGCCACACTCACCAAACCCACAGACTCTACATGCATAGAAGTATCATGTATAGGTATGGCTTTCACTCGGCTGACTGTGCCATTTGGCAAATTAAAAATATTGCCACAGGGGGCGGAAGATGGGGAGCTGCTCGACTGGCGAAAAAAAGACGGAGAAATAATAAAAACGTAACCAGAGTGGAAGTGGCAGCCACAACAGTGGCAACAAAAATGAGCAAACATAGCATATTTATGCCAAACAAAATCAATATCGAAAGTGGCACACAAAAACTGAGCTGGGGAGTCGGGCATTTGAAATATTAGCCAGACCCAAATATTCTCGCGGTGCTCCACATGCTCCACGTATCACACAGCATCCGAGTGACATTTACTGTTGAAAGCTACAAAATTGAACATTTAAGCTGTATCTTTAAGTTCTAAACGCAAACTTCAAGTTTGATTTTCATATAAATTATTGGGGTGGTGTACCTTGTTTTAAGCACCTTCTGATTTCTGTATCAGAAAAGTATTAATTCTACTCTAAACTGGTCTAAAAATATATTTTTAGTCTATGGTAAGCGACTGCCATTTATCATTAAAACTTCTTCTTTAGAAATAATAAAATAATAATTCCTGATGTTGTCTATTTGAAACCATATCAATATGTCATCAATGCCCCGTTGCCTATGGCAATCGGAAATAATTTAAACAAGCTTGTGTGAAACATAAATCTAATTAAAATATACGCCGAAAAATGTTCCACAAATTATATTAAAATAAATGAAATGCGAGGACCCATCTGCGATCAATCAGCGGACTCAATAGCAAATTGCAGCGATACAGAATATTAAAGGCAGTCTCAAAAGTAACAGCCAAGCCATTTAAGTGCAGGAAATTGAATTTTGAAAGTGCCACGTCGAACGATGGATGGATGTGGATGTGGATGGTGACGTGGATGATACGAATCTGCGGCAACAACTTGTTGTGGGAGCCAGGAGCGTCTCTTCAGTGGCTTCGTCCTTTTCAATTAGGAGCTCTCGACAATTTCCCGTTCGCCGGGGAGAAGCGGAAATTATGGCACGCCCATTTTAATCATTCGCCATTTCCGGTGCACAAATACACCGTCGAATGTGTCGAGGGAATCTAGATCTGGGTCTGCTCAACTAGCAAAGTTTCGAGGACAATTTGAGCATCTTACCTGGCTGGCTGGTTGGTTGTTTGGTCGTTTGGTCAAAAGTGCAGGCCAGGGATTTCGCCTTCCACTAGGACAGCGCTAATTGCACTTCTCGGCAAGGTGAAGGTGACTGGAAAAAGGAGGCCATGCGAAATATGGAGGGGAGTACGGAGTACGACAAATTCCGTGGGCACAGAAACCACGCAAAATTTATGGTTTCAATTAAAAGTTTCACCATTTCCGTTCATTTGCGGCACAAACAAGCAGCCAGCGGCAAGTGGCAGGCTGCCTTTTTGGCCAGGAGTGGTCAGGATGGAATCGGAGAGGGGAGGGGAGGGGAACGCAATACGGTAATGAGCCTGGACAAAAGCAGGGCCCAAAAAACTTGTTACTTTTGCAGCTCAGCGCTTAGGAAATGGCCAAAGTTTTGACCATCCGGCTGGCAATAAAATTGTGAATTATGAGAAATTTCTAGCTGCAATTTACTTCTCCCACTCAGAGCAAAAAAAAAAAATATCACCAAATTTTATAATCAATCGGGTGGTATTTTTTTACTAAAAAAGTTTTGCTCTTTTTGGTACTGGTCTCCTTCTGAAAATAACCTTTCCCAAAAATTTTTAAGATTTATCCTTTTGATTTACATAACTGCTTAACTGCTTTTTTAATTTTAAATTTGGTTTTAATTTTATGTTATGTTAGGCATTCTTCGAAATTCAATTTTTGGAAACGTGTAGTTATTAACGACCTTTAGTATCCAGTCGATATAGCTGGATACCCGGGTGTAGACTCCTGGACTGCGGCATTCCGCGCTTCCGAAACTGACGATTCCGAGCTGAACGTACCGCACTTTTCCGTCCATGTAAAGCGGGTGAACCAGTGGACCTCCTGAATCCCCAACGCAGGTGTCACCGATGCTGTGACCAGCGCAAATCTGGCTCTCATTTATCCTAGTCCACAACGCGTTATTGCATTCAGATGGGTCCAGTTCGCTAAGCTCTAATATCTGCAAAACCCTTGCCGTTTTCTCATGTTCCGTTCTTCCCCAACCAACAGCTTTGAAGGTTCTCACACTGGGCACATTGGTGGGATCCGTGATGATGCAAATGGGTCTGATGTAAGCTGAGGTGAATGCCATATAGAAATACGATTAAATAAACCACTGGGATCAGCCCCAGCTCACCAGTGAATTGGACATCTGGCTCCAGCATTAATATACCGATATCGTGATACTGTTGTGTCCAGTTGTAGAGTTTGTTCCGAAACGCCTTATTCACAGCGTAGTCCATGGATGTACTAATACTGTCCTTGGAGTAGAATGCTCCCAGACGCACAGCCCTAAATCAAAAAGAAATTGACTTTGTAAAACAATTATCTTTTGGGTTTGGGAAGTACCTACAGGATTTCGTCGTTTACAATGCAGTGGGCAGCTGTCAAAACCAGTTCTGGAAATTTTCAAATAAGAAATGCAATTTTAAGTAAAATAAATATAATAATTTGGATTTTTCTTACGTTTGTGGATTAGAGTTCCGCCACAGACAAACTCAGTTGTACTTTGATTTACGGTTCTGTAAATGAATGCCATCCAAGGATTGCTGCCATGAACTGCATCCTGGCCAAATGTTATTTTATTGGTAATGCCTGTGAGGCCGCAATCTGGCTCTAAAAACTGAGATTTAGTGCCCTGCCATAGCAGAAAAAATACAAAAATTGCGCAATTCAGAGACGCAGCTCCACACATCTCTACTCTGCGCCAAGAATGTACTGATACTGATAGCTCATTTACGTGAGCTCATGGGTGATTATCTCTCAGTCAGCCGCTTATCAACATACATGCTTTTCATGGAATAGACTTTATGGTTTTTAATAAACAAGTGTTTGTTCTTCAATTTTGTTCATTGCTCAGCCTAATCGATCGTGGTATATGTGCCTGAAAATGCGCGAATGTGTAAGCAGTGTTTGTCATATCGTCACTAATTGAAGTGCAAATATTGATGAGTGCCGAGCAAGTGCAAACGCGCTCCGCTAATTTGCACAATTCTCTCGTTCCGCCGCATAATGCGCCGCAAAGTATGCCAGGCGAAGTCAATGCCACGCCCCCGCCCTCCAGCCCATCAGCCCAGTAGCCCAGCGACCACGCCCACGCCCACAGAGTCAAATGCAGCTGCACAGAGAAGCAAATTTGCAATGGGTGATGGAGAGACAGACAGACAGACTTAAATGCTGGCACAGCCAGACTCAGCAGAATTTCAAATTTATTCAAATCAACTCGTTCGAGCGAGGGGCGGCAAAAGGGAGCGCGATTCGGAAGGAGGCGTGGCAATGAGCAACGGCAGCCGAATGAATGATTCAATTAGGCATCAAATATTTACAACAGACGTTTAAATATTGCGACAGACATGAAGCTTCTGATATGGTCCGGAAAATCTCGAGTTGCATCTCCGGCTGAGCCGAGATTTCCTCGAGAACTTTTCTAATTGGCCGCTAAGTGCGTTCGGTGGCCCTCGAGCTCTGTCTTCCACTTTTCCGAAACTCTCTCTTGGGTCGAGAAAGTGGGGCAAACCAGGGGAAAGACAGCTGCATTTTGACGAGGGCAACGAGAGTTCAATATGCACACTGCATAAATAAGTAAATAACTTTGGCATTGTTAACCCATCCCTTCTGCCCAACTTTATTCTTCGACTTTTGAGCCCAAAAGCAGTTGCAGCAGTCCCAGTTTCTCTGTCTCGATTCTCCGGCCTGCAATAGTTTTCTTTTAGATTTATGAGTTTTTCCAATACAAAATAGTTGCATGAATTCCCTCTGAGTGTGTGTGTGTGTGTGTACGCTTGTTCAATTCAAATAGTTTGATTACAAAAGTTTTTCCATTGAACATGGCTGGCATTCGAGCAGGTGGAAATGCTGTTTTGCATGGCGACTGCTCTTTCAGATTTTCTATTTTTACGCTGAAAATAATAAATTAAGGCGGGTGTTCCGGAGGGGTATTTCTGCACATTTATGTAATTTAATTGGATTTGATTTGCAAACATTTTGCAGAAAGGCAGCCAGCTAGTCATCCAGTCATCGTGGCCACGCCAAGTTGTCGCTCAAGAACTTGAGCACTCCAAAATATTTTCATAATTTTTATCACAATTGTAATTCTCGCCGAAAAGTTTTTGCATTCGCAAAGTTGCTGGGCCAACTTTCGTGCCCGAGAAAACTTTTCGGTTGCTGACAATGAGCTCACAACAGATTTCTGAGTTAATTTCCAGCATCATTTTGTTGGCTCTTCATCCGCTCCCGCTCCCGCTCCCGTTGCCATTTGCCATTGAAATTGCCATCGCTGCTGCGCTTTGTATTGTGTGTGCAACTTTGTCGGCAATAACAATAACAATTGCGAGTACTCGCTGCACGCACTGTTAATAAGCCAAATTATGGGGCCGCAGAATGGGCCGAAAGAGCGTCGCGTTGGGCGCCAACTAATTGGTGCTTAATGCGGATACTTACTGAGTCAAGTTGGCTTTAAGCCGCCGCGCCTTATCAATGTCGGCCCAAATGGATCTCGCTGACAGACAGGCGAACAATGCCATTAATCAAGCGCCCTCAAGGTGCTCGCCCAGGTTCTGTCTTTCTTTTCCAAGCTGTTTTTTTTTTGTTCTTACCACTCACACTCACCGAATTCCCCAACTCACATGTCACATGCAGTGGGGATGGGCAGGATTCGATTCCGCCCACTTTGGACACCACATGGAGCGACAGTTTTTCCTGCTCCTCGCTTTCCATTTCCCCAGGAAAAAAAACAGCAGCAGGACTTTACCCGCCCCTTTTTTCTCCCGCCCCCCTCGAGTGCTGACAGCGATAAATTCTAATGCCGGGTCAGCACTGCCAGCGACCACGCCCCCAATTTCAGGGCGTATGTGAGTGTGGGCGTAGTTGACCAAAGCATGAAAAATGCTTTCGCTTCCTTTGGCTTTTCCTGTTCCTTGTTTTGCCCGAGAAATGAATGAAGAAAGGAAGTTAACTGGCATTTGGTTTTTGTTTGCCGAGGAAATATTTTTAGCACGTGTTTGGTCAATTTCGAACTCCCCTCGTTCCATTACCACCCACTTACAAGCCAGGCACATTTGTCACTTTAAATGCAATTTGACTTGTGCCCAATGCGCATAAGTCTTACCAGGCTTTTTCTCCTGCCTGCATTTTCCTAAGGCATTCTCCCGGCAATTTGTCGTGTCTTGTTTGGTCGAGGACGTGGACAAGTTGGAAGCAGAAGGAAAAATAGGTAGCAAGCACTTGGGAGCGCTTAGGGAAGAGCTCAGTAGAATCAATTTTAAAGTGCTTCCCCGGAAGCCTGCGCAGATATTTATCGTCTGCCCAGGAATTGCCACAATTGGCAGCAAGTGAGTCCGTCGGGTTTGCATTGAACACTTTTCAATCTGCATACGAAATAAGAGGCCAACCCACTTATTCCAGTAGGCGAACATAGGATATTCCCTCATTTCCATACTTCATCAATGGAGTTTCATGTTCAGCAAATCAGTTATTATTGTAGACTTCAATGGATGTTGCTTATGAGGTTTGCTAAATAATTGCTAGTATATGCTCATGGATGTAATTTGAACTTAATACTTTTTTGAAGTTGGTAAATTTCTTTCTTAAAGCTTGTTTTTTACCCGAATAAAAAAAAAACCAATGAACTAAACAAGTTAAAATAGCAATGGATGAAATTTTAAAAAAATTCACGAGTCAAAATTTACACTACATATCCTAACAAATATAAATTGAACTCTCTTCAAATCTTATCTTAATTCCCACGGCTTTTGTAAACAATTACCACCTGATGAGCAATGAACTCAACTGTTAAGCTACCGATTGCCGAAAAGAAAGCTTGAAATATTTGAATATGCCCTGATCTGGTGGCAAATTACCCCGTCCAGTGTGCAACGCTTCTGGGATCATTAGACTTGAGTTGTTGTAGCTGTTGCTTGGGTGTTCAATGAGCCGGAAATGTCTTCATTATGATTGCATATGACCCCGGTCAGGGGGAAAGGGGGAAGGGGAGGGAAAACGGAAACGGAAGCGCCAAACTTCATTTGTTGTCTGCTGTTGCCTTTGCTGTTTGCCCCAAGTGCGTACGAGCGTGGCAATTCGGTGGGCGCACAATCTCAGCCAGCCAAGGGGGCGTATGAGTGATGGCGGCAGTCATGCAAACTGACAGTTTATTTACCCAACGCCATCATTACCGGGGCCAGTCAATGTTTGCCGTGGGAGTCAGGGAGTCATGTGTGTGTGTGTACCGGGTCTGAAATTATCGCACGATATGAAAAATTGACTGTGATTTATGCAATTATGTTAACAAAATATTTACTTGCCCACAATTGATGGACCTTTCCTTCTTCAGCAGGATAACCATTAGAAAGGCATTAGCTGGCAGCCCTTTCTCTTTATAAGTTTTATTAGCTGCACGCGACCCGAAGCAACAAAAAAAAAACACAAAACGGAACTCTACTTAGTTTTTGGGGTCGGATCAGTCGCCCAGCTTTGTGGCCATAATGAACTCCCTACTGCGGATCAGCTTCGACAGGAGGGTGGCAGGAAAACTTTGTCGTGTTTATGAGTTTCAGCCCCAGTTTCGGTTTCGGTTTCACAATCCCCTGGCCCCTGGAATCGATGGCACTTCACATCGACTTGTCAGGAACAGCCGCTGGCAAGTTTTTGATGTGTCAGCTGGAGGCGAAGTGGGCTGGGACGTACAATCTAATAAACGAGCTGGCGAAAAAGAATAACAAACTTTCTCTGCCTGCCTGCCTGACCTTTGTGGGCTGGACTATGAACTCTGATGAAAAATCTACCCGTACCTTTGAGGGACCTTCGACCATTCTCACACACGCAAATTGAAATGAATAATAGAAGTCGTAGTGGTGGGCCAAGAAAAACAACCCAAATGAGACCCATTGTTGGTCGTTGGTTTGGCTGCCTTTGTTGTGCCCAGTGTCCCTGGGGTGTGCGTGGTGCAGCACAAACAAACAAAGTGAGAAAAAGTTGACACATTCACTTACCAGATTAAAATGGAGCCAAGGCCACACGGAGAAAAACAAATGGTAGCGATTAGGATTGGCAAAATATTCAAAGTGCCCATGACATGAGCATCCCTTAATCAAACTCGAATTCTGTTTGTGCCAAAGGGGTGGATATAAGCATCGATCAGAGCTGAGAATAATTAACTATTAGCTGTAAAAGTATTTTTCATTAGCATTGAAAAGGTAATGCTAATGAAAAATTGTTTATTACATTTTGTTAGATCAAAATTTTATAAAAAACATATGACAATATTTTAATGTATTCTTTTGTTCAGTAGTAACACCTAAAATTGTCCCATTTTTCGCTCTGTAAAAATAGCACTAAAATGTTTTTGGGAGAAATCGAAGAGCTCCAATGCACACCTTTTACCAAATGAATCGGCCTGAAAGATGGATAGAGAACGAGAACGATGCCTTTGATTTATGACCATAAAGTAGATTTTCACTCCAAAATCCGCTACATCAATGTCACTTAATTGCCATTTATTTGGACATCAATTGTCACTGAAATCCAAACGGCAAACGGCGAATGGCAAACGACAAACGGAATTTTCGCCCCACTGGCCCACAACTTGCCATTTAGACATTTAGACAAGGCCAAGACGGCAGACGGCCAAGTTCAGCAGAGTTGGCTGGCGAATTGCTCAGCGAACTGTATTAATCGGGGTCATATGCGCAATTATAAAGAATAACAGC